CGGCCAATGGGCTTTCCCATTGAGCAGTTTCAGTCTTCTATCTAGATGGAGTTTATTTGAATTGACCAAAGTTGAATATGAACTACATTTAGTCGCCAAACATTTTGCTACCAATTAGAAAGAAGTATCAATTAAATCTGACCAATGACATTTTGAATACATTAATGCCGTTAAAATATACTAATGAAGCGATAAAGCACCCAACTAAGTCATGTTCTGGATATCGAAATGCAAACTCACCAGGGAATCTGCAGGCATGGCACGAATAGTAGGCAATCATCCAATAGCCTACACTACTACTGAGAATTCAATGGCTCCAGAACTCGAAATTAGATCCGCTATATCTGCAATATCTATTCAGAATAAAAAATTGTCATTGTGCTCAGTTTGAAAAAAAAAATGTCGTCTAACTTTAGACTAAATTCTTCACACTTCTACCTAACAGATGGATTTTAATGTTAGTTATGAATGATCAAAATAGTTAAGTAAATTTGGGGGGGGGGGCAAGTAATCATTGGCAAACCTGAAACGAACCAAAATGGATAGGTTAAAGTGAAACTCACATAAGAAGTAGCCATTATGTGATGCTAGATCGTAGTGTTTAGGAGAGTGAGTTCAGTTGTCATTTCATGCTTTGTTATAATTGGAATGAAGTCGAACTTTGTTCACTCTCACTGTCTGGTGGGCCTAACACTAAAATAACGCAATGTGCACAGATGCAGTACATTGCGCGCACCAACGCCGCCAACGCGCGCACACATTAAAAACGCATTCGCGCAATTTGCAGTTCGTGCGCACCGTGCGCGCACATTGGCCACACAAAGGCAAACGGATTACATGCCTGTGTGGTGCGCGCCTCGGTGCAACGTGCTACCCATTTCAAGCTTAGCAGGCAACATGGCGCATTTGTAAACTGTCCAAGGAACGAGGAGAGAGAGAGGGCTTATGCGCGCTGACTTCACACTTCGTCCTTGCCAAGTAGAACGACCCACTACTATGTGAAACACGAAAAGTAAAAGCCCCATTAACAGATCGACTGAGGCATGTGTACGGGCACCTCACTCTGTAATTCTGATTTATATTAACTCTGAACCACATCAAAGGACTGAGGTCAGTCCCATCTGATTTGGACACCCATTAAATCACCTATATCTTGAGGTGGGTCGACATGGTTTGTGCCTAAATGTAGTGACTTGTCATATGATGAAAATCAAATTGGGTAGGGTTGTTAAGAGGTCAGACAGTATGACCTGATTACGTCTGGTATCCTGGTACGCCTGCATTTTAATATGGGTAAGAAGTTGATTTTCGAAAGCTGACCCTTCCAGGTAATTCATTAACACATTTTACTATTAAATTATGTAGTAGAGCCAATACAATACAAAAAGCACTGCTAGCTAACAAATGCTATATATATATATTAAACAAATTTTCTGCGAAATTTGAGGCTTGGATGGGAGAGGCTGTCTGGGCCGGATCTGCAAAACCGATTACAAGAAATTTAACAGATAATCTGAATCAAGGCTTATACCTCAAAATCCAGACCTACACACTTAGTTAGGTTACTCAAAGGGGCATTTCGCAAAGTTAAAAAGCCTAAAGGATCGTGACCCTAGAATATGTTAAAAAAGGTCAGAAAAAAGGGGGAAATATGCTAAATGAGGTCATCGCCACAACCAGATTAACCAATCGTAGAGCAGAGAAAGGAGTTTGCGGAATGAGGTCATTGTGAGATTTGTCTATCCTGGCTTCCCAAAGAGAACTAAACTTGCAAGTAGAGCAGAATTATTTAGAAAGAAAAAACAAATAATATTTGGAAGATTTTCTACACGCAGAGGAACAGCCTTTTTCAAACGGGGAGAAAATAACGAGAAAACTACTCCTTTGTTGGAGAACCTGAAATTGATGTCTTCTCGTTACTCTTCTTAATCATATACCTCATTTCAGCTAAATGAATTCAACTGCAGGCTTATCATGAATATTATAAGGTGTTTTCACTTCGTAAATTGCTAAAGGCTATTTCGTTTGAGATGGGTCAAGTTGACTTTGTTGGTTACCAACGTTCGGGCACTTTGTCGGCAACTCGGAACTTGTACAGAGAACATTTACCAGTCGATTCAATTTCAAGACTCATATCAGGCCAAAGGATCCAAGCAACGAATTCCAAACCCGCGCTTCCAGGTCAACTGTGTTAACAACAAATAAGGGCACAAAATTCCAATTCAGAGTTAAACCAAAGATCGAGACTGTGGAACACATTAATAAATTTAACATAACAAAAAGAGAAGGAAAATTGGCTATGTAAGATGACTATTTAAAAGTGAGAATGTGTATGAAAAAACCGAAAGTGGACTTTTATCAAGTTTCACAATTATAAATAAATAAAGTTTCCCTACCAATTGTAACAAAATGAGAATTGTAAGACTATAAAGCAAGTCTAGCTTAAAGCAGAGGATAGCCAACCTTAGCTAACATTATTTTTATTAAAAATTGGGAAGCAAACATAATTTTACAGGGATCAAATGACGGCACATCTTATGCAAACGTGCCTAATACTTGTACTTGTATTAGTCACGCGGTAGATAGATCCAGACTAGAAACCCGGATGAAATAAGACATTATATTCACTACTAGTTTGAATTATCCTGACAGGTGACCTCAATTTGTTCTTACGGTATGGATCAAGTCAAGTTTGTCAACAAGAAGTGGCCAAATTCCGATCTTTCAAAGAACACACTATCCCAAAACAACTGACTGGAGTGTTTGAGAAAGCGTTGAAAACTCTTACTGAGGGATATTTTATCGTCAGTTTGTGAAAAACGAAGAGAATAAAATTACATGTACATTGCTCATTCATTTATTCTACTTAAATTAACAAAGAAAAGCTGGTTTGCAGAGCAAGTGTGATAAAAAATAAATTTATGAAGCCAGATATGCATTCCCACTAAAATTATGTCAAAAAATTGTGATGTACTAAAGTATAAGCCAAAGAAAGCAGAAAATCTTAGAAATTAATTAAAATCTATTATTTTCTTGAGCCCTATTTGATTGTTTAATTGAATTATTAAACACTTTTAATTAAGCTACTTTCAAAATGAAGGAACGGAGCAAAACTCAACCATCATTAACTGAGCTTGTAAGTTTGATAGATGGTTTATTCAGATAAAGGATTCACCATGTCGGTGTGGACTCCAACTAGTAGCCTAAGATCTGGACGTATTTAAAATAGTTAAGACAGCCACAAAGCCTAGATAACATCACATTTTTCGAAGTGCCCATAATGCACAAGTTAGGAACACGGTTAGCATGCAAGTTACGGCTTTCGAACACGATTTTATCTAATAACTCTACGATAAGGTCAATCAGCAGCCCGCCGTTTGGGATTTGACGATCAGGCCACCCGAAACTGCGTTTGACCTTATTTGACCTAGACATTAGGGAATGCCATTAACGTCTCCTGCGTAGGGCCGTAAATTGGAACTGATTCACGAAAACAAGTTTTTCTAGCGCGAGTTTCGGCTAATAGGTCGTTGTGGTTAAAGGTGAAATACTACTTCAATGGCTAAATTTATGAAATTAATCAATAATTTCCATGACAAGTTAATCTTTTACTTGAGACCCATCGATATCAGGGTGCACAAATATTGTACTATTTAACAAAACACGATCAATAATACAAGTATATGCTGCCAATTTTTCTCAGCTTGAGAAAGTCTTTAAAAAAATAGAGCATATATAAAACTCCATCTAAGAAACAAATATACATTATAAAATACTGAATTGATCGAATAGTGAGTTCACAAGAAACTGTATTAGCTAATTCATATTTACACATTTTTCTTCTATCTACTGGTAATCTCCCTCTCACAAAAGTAGATAAATTTGTATATTACAGACACGATTTGATATATTCTAGGCATAAATTTGGGGAAAAGTCTACAGGCACCCAATGATTCACCTGGCCAACATAAAACATTGACCAATTGCAGAACACATTCCCCCTTAGGGAGTGAATCATTGCCCCACATACAGAGACAAACATCCCACTCCTTTCCCATTACTGCTACCTGATCGATGTCTTAACCACCGATGAATCGGTAAGGCAATCCAAATATTCCAGATTGACTAAGTACATTGATTGCATTTATAAAGAATGCACCTGTCTGAAATGATGATCTAACGACCAATAAATTGCCATTTAGTGGAAATAACATCGACAAGGTCTTGACCACGAGTTACTGAGAGGCCTATTTAATCCATTTGAGTAATCAACAAGATTTGATGGGCGTTTTCATTAACTACGATACTATAAAAGTGACGGCAATTCATTTGCGAGAAGTATTTGTAGGTAAGCAGATTGAAATACACATCCGAAAATTGCGAGGTCATTGTTCTTTAATAGGAATCGATTAGTAAATGCAAAAGGCACGAACTCTAAGAACGAAACCCCCCCCCCCCCTCCTTTTTTAAGAATTAAAACGTTAATATTAAGTATCAGAAATTTCATTTTATTTGGCGAAGGAGTCTTACAACTTTTGATCATAGGAAAATTGTTAAAGATATTGGCAAAGATGGTCAAAGTTATATTAAAACTCTTTTATATTACGCATCGCATTTTAAATATTCGAGTAATTGTTATTGTTAAAAAAAGTCATACCATCTGTGATAGTCTTGTAAATTTTCGGCAGTCATCGCTGCTTTCGAGACAGTCTAAAAAATCCAAGGACTAGAAAAAAATACCCAGAAATAGCTAGTCCTGATTACGACACTTGGTTTAGTTTAAAGTTGTGCAAGTTGACTGTTAATTAAACAAATGTTGAAGACCAATTAAATGCAAAGAAACAGGTCAGCAGATCGGGTCATTACGGTCATCTCCACACAAATCAGAACATTAACATAACCTAATCTCACTTGCTTAAGCGGAATAGAGCGTAGTAGCATCTTTATAAATTGCTGACAGTAATATTTGATTCGACACATTGAAACAGCAAAAAATGCCGTTAAAAAAACAGAAATAACCTAACCTGATTCACAGTCGATTTCGAAACGTTAGCGTTATTATTTCCACGTTGAGTCAGAGGTCTTTGTTGTACCAGAAGATCCATGAGTCCACAAGGAAGGCGTTTAGAGGAATTAGTAAATGGAGAAAAAGGGTTAAAAATGTTGGTTAGAGGTCGAGTAGTGGTAGACGTGGCAGTAAATGGTTGTCTTTGTGTATTCGGTGGTGTAAAAGGACCCATTAAGCTTGAAGGAGAATAAATTCCACCTGGCCGAGAATTAGTCGGACGCATAATAGAGCTCGAGGTGCCCGGAAGCAGCATGGGAGATAACGAGATCCCGCGGTAGTTGTGGCAAATTTTGGCGAGAGGCGCGCGATGAAGGGTGATTTAAGAGTACCAACTCACGACATGCAAACGTTCTCACATTGGGCGAGCCAATCAGAAAAACGAAAAGCCAACCAGAGTGCGGCCGTATAAGCTTAGAAATCAATTTTCCCTTGAGTACACCCTCATTGGTTAGAGGCATGAACAAAAGTGGGGGGGGGGATTAACGCGAAAAAAGGGGCAGATTGCTAGTCCCAATTGAACGCGTCATTGAATTCGCTTTCCCTATGAAATACAATGAATTTTCATAGTTTTGATGGCTTCAAAAGTTTTGAGTATTTCGAAGATTGGTAAAACAATCCAAAATGTTTGCTTGGTACCTTAGTGCTGATACTTAAAAGAGAATTTTATACTAGCAGAAATCATCTTTATCTTATTATTTTTGCAGTAAATGGAAATTAAGAGATCATTGAATTATAATATCCTTTTTAAGTGAGTATAAATTCACGAGGTTATTTAATATTGGTAAATGGTTTGGGGATTTATGATGTTGGAGTGCTTTTTTTTGCCAGTTTTTTTTCTGACAATCATTTCATTCATCCCTTAGACAAATTGACAAAGAAGCTCAATGGAGAATTTCATCGGGTCACGTGTACGAATATTCTTTCCTCGATTGGTGCAAGTTAGAGTAGCTACAAGGTGTAGTCATAGCTAGCTACTGTAAACTAGCTAGAACGATGTCAGTAACTAAACGTCATGTCAGAATGGGAATGATAGGATGCATTGTAATGGAGACTACAGAGAAAAGGTCAAGGTTTATTCGTGTAGCAATCCGCTACAAACTACTCTGTAAGTCTTCCAGCAAAACTTTCCTATTTCCTGGAAATGCTAAGCTATCTCGATGATTAAGATGCAGTCATATAGGGAATATAGCGTTTATTAAATCTATTATCAGAGCAAATGCGATTAGTGGCTGAATACATGAACATGTTTTAATGAGCATTAATAGCTGAGAAATCCTCTGAACACACAGTCCCATTATTCAGCATATTTAAGATTGCTTAGTTTGATCGTGTTAGGATAGCGATGTGAACTTGATATTGACTGTTTATCGCTTGGATTGTTTCCTTTCATTTCTGGAAATTGTCTATGCATGAAGATATAAATGATTTCCTTTAAGGGTAGCTGTCCACCACATATCAACAATGCATAAGAAGTAATTTGACTGACAGTAAACAATGTTGTCAGCTCTGGATTATTCTGCTGAATCGATTTTATTTTTTCAAGGAGTTGGGCCTTGTACCAAAAAGAAATGTTTACACGATTTTCCATACAGTGAGGACTAACTAATTAATCGATGTTTTACTAAGATTTTCTCATTTTTATCTTTTCTTCAGATCACATCTGCCGCTTTCCAATTCGACCTCTTACTCATTCCAACTCCCACTATCATACTCCAGATGTTTCGTTCCGTTTCAATATTCGCAGCCTTCAATCACCTTCTATCCACAACCATTGATCCAGTTCCTAGCCCTGGCAACCAACGACTTGATGCAAACGCAGACCTCTCGATATGCCATAGCAGGTCACTCTAGTTCTTTTATTGGGTTTCAATTTTCCTGTAGTGAGTAAAGAAAGTGACATGCAAGATTTAACTGAGACGTAAACTGATTTCCAGAAACCATATGAAGAAATGGTATCAGCTACGAAAATAGGAGCATGGGTAGCTTTTCACACAGTTCAAGAGTGGATTTTGTGGAATAATGGTAAGGCTTCAAAAATGCTGAGTCTGTCCAATGACTAATTTAAAAGGTCTTTCATACTGATTGGAACCACCAGGAATTCAGGCTTTAGAAAAGGCTGTTTTATCTTTGAAAATTCGACTGAAATGTCAGTTCAAGAAGTGATGATTTTCAAATTGGAGACGTGGTAAAACACTACGAACCTAGTACAGGTGTTATTCCATAGTCTAACACCCATACATTATTCTAAAACCAGACAGTCCAGTTTCTACTGCTACATTCAATCTCCTCACTAAAGAAGGATAACTCACACTTAACTCAGACAGGGAGTAATAAGTCAAAGTAAAGTTATTCTAAAGGTCTTCATGTTGGTGATGTTTAAAGAGCAAAACACCTAACAACAAGTTTTTACAAAACTGCCATGAGCGAAGAGCCTCGTTTTTTCAGCATCCTATTGAAAGCAACCTACTTTGAACAAGTAATATACACTCACTAACATATATTATATAGGATAAGCACAAAACCCTTACCTACATGAACTATAGCAGGAAATACCTGAGATATATTTGCAAAGTTTTCTTGAAAGAAAAAAAAGCAAAACAAGAAATCGGACAATTCCCCCCCCCCCCCACTCAAAGCATAACCCTCTCTCTTTCTCGGCATAACTGTCATTCAAAACCATAAAACATTAAGTGAAATTATGTAAGACAAGGTGAATACATACAATAGGCATGATGAAAGAAGGATTGGTAAAGGGTAAATAGAGAGAAAGACAGTTTAACACCGATTTAAGCTGAGATCAAGATGCATTATCTTCGCGTTTACGAGCAACTATATGCACAAAATTATCCGGATAAGCCATCCATTCACACATCCATTGAGCTGGTGTTTCTGGTGGAATCTCCACGCCATGAACTTTGAAGACAAATTCTACAAAGTTAAATTTATAATGTACTTAAATGACATAAGTAGTCAGTGAAAAGGAACAAACAACAAACCTTCAGGATGGAAGTTCTTCGCCCGAATGCGATCAAATAGAGTATTTATAACATCAGAAAATGTAGCCGGAGTTCTGTCTGATTCGTTGAAGGGGGGAATTAGAGTCTGTATGAATCCTTTTGTGGGAGAGACAGTGTTGAGATTGAGAGGGGAGAAGTAGAGACGGATTGGGCAATGACGGAAAGCCTTCATAGCACCAATTGAAGTCATTAGCGCTGCTGCATCCTCGGTAACAATTTGAGTGCATTGTCTATCCTCCTTATCACCGTCTTTGAGAGTATTTGCATTATCTAAGCAATCCAAGGAAGTGCATTTAAAAATATCACAAAATAGTCAAATATTACAAGTGTTGTGACTATTCGGAGTGTTTAACACCGTCTAATAATTCAAGTTCCATGACGTTCATTCCCCACCTAAGATGAGCTAAGATGGAAAACTTCTGCAAAACTGAGCTTGATGACAAAACTGTGGTGCGAAGGTGTCGTACTGATAAAAGTGCATGAGATTAATGTTCATTAGTCCACATGCAAATTGATTATGATTAACAAGAAGGATGGGATAATATGAAAGTTCCCAAATCAGATCCAAAATACACCTCTTATAACCAAGTTGGTAATATTTCTAATAATGAAACAAGATAAATAAACTAATAATCATTACTAATAAAATGGTCACTACGCTCACGTCATTTTGTAAAACCGTCTACAAAGGTAGAGTAAAACTATCAAACGTAACACGTCTTCCCTCTTACTTGAGATTTGTGGGGTTTATAGCTTGATAGTAACCAACAAATTTGATATGTGTTATTATTAGAAAATGCTAATAAAAAATATCACCCACTAGGGATTACAATGAGGAGCCCTTAACGTCAATACCCACCTTTCTTTCTCTATATAGTTCCATAAAGCATTTCGAATTAATAAGTACTTAATATCGACTAGATCCACTCAATTATTGAACTTAAAAAAACCAAAAAAGCGCAAAAATATGCGAATACACGAACGGGAAACAAATTTCTAGAGGACAAGGAAATTAATTACCAGATGCAACTGCTTTATATTGAATAGGAGCTCCTTGCATAAAGCGTTTATTAATTGACCAGAAGAGATCGAAACTATGCTGCGTGAATCCAGTTAGGAGTTGTTTTTTCTCTTCACTCTGGATGTCATCGAAGACAGGACCGGAACCGCCACGTCCACTATGCTTTAACTGATCAGCCTCCTTTAATGTGGCCACAAAGAAGGCTTCGACAGAAGCACGGTTTACAGGAGGAGCGAGCAAGAGATCACTAGGATAATCCTTGACAAAAGAAGATCGTTAGAATGCAGGTGGCCACAATTAGATAATGTCATTGACAGCAAAAGCTGACGGAGGCCTAATGTGATTAGGCAGCTAGTAAAAATTGCGTAACTTTTACTGAAAAAAATAATCAAGAAAAATTTGAAAGGTAAAAAGAGCACTATCAATTAATGAGTGCATGAGACAAAAGCGTGACTTCGGTTGAGTAACGTCGAATAAAGGCTACTTGAATTACAATCAGTAAAGTAAATATAGATAAAAACTATCGAGAACTTCAAAATAAAAAAGTGAAGGACAAAACCACGCATGCTGGATCAAATAATTTTGTTAAATTTTGTTTTGTAAGTTAATCGAACTTATAATAAAATTCTGAAATTTCATGGTCTTAATCTCTAAACTACATGATCTAGAGAAATGCCTGCCAAACAAAAATATAAAGAAACGAAACTTTATACAACAATTGTCTCGAGTTTCAAAGCCCACTTTTTTTCCGACACGATCGAACATAGCCAGTAAAATAAGGATATGAATGAAAATAAGAAAGTATCCCAGATTCCACAGATAGCAACCCCCATTAAAATCGATTACCTAAGTTCATAAATCAAAAAGTCGGACTAAAATGTATGCAAATAAGAATAACTTTACCTTAAAATTAATGGCAATTTCCCAGGGAAGCTTACTGGAAGAACTATAGAGATCGAATAGCACACCAACAGGATAATGCCTAGTAATAAACGAATGTACTGTGAAATACAAAGGTCGTCGATTCAGTCTCATAACTCAAAAGCTATATAGTACCATTTTAGTGGGATTCCATTGTGAGAAAGCCAATATTGTTTGTAGATTTCATCACTGTCTTCCAAACCAGATTTTATAAAACTTCGGAGAGATCGAATAACCTTTTCCATAACAAGAGGAAAATACGTAATTCGAGGTACTTGAAGCTATAAAAAGATGTGCATCATTAAAGCTATTCAAAATGAAAAATAAAAAAGCAGAGCTTACGTAAAAAGGCGGCGGTGTGTTGGAACTATCGATCAGGAGGTCACTGTCTGGCACACGAAATGTAATATAAAGTGAGCCATTCCATATTTTATGGGCAATGGTGTCATTCTGTTCCATTATTCTGTTTAAAGATATATAGTGATATATATGGTGAGATTTGTGGGATTCAAGCCAATCACCGGACAAGAAGCGACCTTAAAAATACCTCAGGGTATTTTTATTTCGGAACAAAGTAACACATTCATTAAATCATTTAGAAATTGCAATTCCGTAAATATCGAATTTATTCTCCTCGATTTTTATAAAGGGTCTGAATTACTTTTCTTAGTATGTATTTAAGGGAAATTATGATATGCTACCGCTCGAATAAACTTCGGTCATGATTTGTATATTAAAAGTGCATTATATAATTGATCTTGTTTATAATGTTTTTACTAATTAACAAAAATTTGACAAATTGAGAACGTTCTATCAGAAGCATTGGGTTTACATCAATTGACCATAATTTGTGCTATTGTAGTGCCTGAATAGGCTTGCTAAAATGATGACTTCACAGGGAAAGTTCATATCAATGGAGTTCAGGGGATCTGTAGCAGTACAATAATACAAATGAGGATTTATATCTAATCCAATGTAGAGTTATTAGTAGGTAGTCGTATTTATAAATGTACCATACTTCTTACTCCAGTTATTTAATATTTCATATAAACATATCACCTTTTTGAAATAAATGTCCTATAATCTTGTTTTACCTTTTATGCAAAACAATTACCATGATCTTCATTGCAAAATAATTTTTAATACAGAGCTTCTAAATGTGTTGACTGATCAATTGCAAATGGGTTTGGGTTAACTTATATAGCTAACAATAAATTGTTTAATACTAAAAATTGCTTATGAACAACTGTCATACCATTTTTTATTGAATAAAGCATTTTTAATAAATTGAAAATAGCAATCTAAGAATTCCATTATCATGTATATTGGTAAGTTTCAATTGTACTTATAAAGAACATGCTTTGGATGTGCACTGTTTAACGACATGGAGGAATCGTAATGCGAAAAAATTTTATACAATAGTTTTGATCAAACTAAGACTAATGAACTTAACAAATTTCATAAATTGCTAAGTTTCGTTGTGGGAAAATTTAATCTTCTACTATTGGTGCTAAATCTTTCGAGGAATATTTTTAAGAATATATAATTAAGTGAAGCAATCTCTAAAGGTCGTCAGTAGCCGTCCATTTTAATAAGCTGTTCGCGCAGTTAGTCAGCGGTTACTGCATGAGATCTTTTTATTCCATCAATGCTTCATGGATATGTCCCTTATTCACCGGAAAGCGAAATTAGAGGACTTTCTTTTCGAAAAGGTTGAGATATGTATTGAAATATTTTTTTCTTAGATAGCAGACGTACGCTGTACTCTCTTAGTGTTGCGGATATATTTCCATCGCACGATGGATGCGTATGAAATTCTTTTTTGTATTTAACATTTAATAGGTAAATTCAATACAATGGGATCGTACCGGCCGATTCATATTATCTGGAGGTGATGACCGCTTCGTTACAATCACCGATGCCTTTTCACACAGTTCGGACAATGTAGTATTTCGTTATAAACTAAAGGCTATGAGCAATATTTTTATTGCAAAATTTATTCCAAAATCTTCTCACGAAATGGTAGCTTTGGTTAAGTTGAAATGAAAATAATTTTTGAATGTAGATTTATGCTGGCTTTCGTTGTGGTTGCGTTATGCGTGTTCCTGTTAATTGTGGGTCGGATGCCGTAGAAGGACAGTTATTTTTCTCTCATAAAATGCCGGTTTATGATGTATGACTATAATAAAACGGATAAATTGTCTTAGATTTTGACATTACATGATCATGAACATTGTATCATAACGCTCTCTCATGATCACACTGTTCGACTTTGGGATACGCGCCTGCCTCATACTATTGGTCGGGATATGCAACTTTGTGGCCGGACTTGCTTCTTTAATAGCATTAATTCGACTAACTCGGCTCACTCAAAACTATCCCAGATTTCTCCGGCCATTAGATTTGATTTCCCTGTTACGGCTGGAGATGTTCATCCTATTGAGGGATCACGAGCAATCGCTTTAGCAACTGCAGATGGTTTTGTTAGGCTGTTTGATCTTCGTCGTCTCTTTTCACCATGTACTTGTCTCACCAATTTGCAGTTTTGCCTATATTAATAATATGATTTTCTAAAGTAGTATTTATTGTAGCTACTACTTCCCTCACAATGGACTTAACACATGAGGCTCCCCAACCTTATCAGGTTATTCGACCACTGGGTTTGACCAAACAGTCGAATCTTTCTCGGGAATTTCGACTCGATTATGGACCACTTTTCATTACCTCAGTGTGTTTTGAGCCGTACCATAGAACCCTCGATATTAGCTTGCCACAATTGTATCGTGGCAGTCGATTAGATCGACAATCACCTGGTCGCAGGTTACTTGTCAGTCATATGTACTCTCCGGTATTTCTTTTCGATCTCAACGAGCCAGAAGAAACTGTGGAAGAGTTTACAACTCCTGCAGATCAGCATTCACAAGTGAGGGTGTTTTCTGTAGTGGAAGCTTTGGATGATTATTTTTTGATCTTGCGCATTGCCGTTGTAGTCCAATAAACCAGAAGGAGGAGATGCTGTTTTGGACGAGAGATCAATGGAAGGAAGTGAAGGTCCCAGTGGTTCATCAGGAACATTCGAGCCAAGTGAGTATTGACTTTGGTTGGCTTCCGTTATAATCTCTTTCTCCTACACTCCTTTTAAGTACTCGGACATACATTAATTCAGTAAGTATTTTATTAAGCTGAATTTCAGAATTTTTAAAGTACGAATCATGTTACATGCCAAGAGACCAAGATGCATATTGACTAGGATAAAAAGTTGGACATATTTTAGCCGGTAATATGGTAGTTCTTGCCTCTTTTGTTGCAATATATGTGAGTTTATTAATGACGATAATATACAAAGTACTATCCACACTTTTTGATACGGGACTGAAATAGAAAGGAGATCGTTTTCTAGTACTTAATTCATAGGAATTCAGCATAAATTTAAGTATTTATCAAATAAATCCTTCCAGAGTCATAACATCATACAGAAACTACTTTACAGTCTTATAGGTTTTAAGATAAACGAATATCAAAAGTTGCATCTTATAAAGTCATCCAGTTGAAGTAATATAAAATTTGTCGGCACACTTCGATTTTTAGGAACAGTTGTTTGGGTCCATGGTCAATTCACACTTTTAGGAGCAGTTGGTAGTACCCAGGGGCATTGTTTCTATAGTGGAGTCGCTGGGGGTTAAAGAAGATGCAAGTGGTTACGTCCAAATCAAATTTCAAATGGAAATTCCGTTATGCATGTTCTTTTCCTGTTCAAGCTGCATGTTAAATATATATCGATTATTTAGTTACCTCCTATCAACGCCTATTTCATACAAATGGTAAATCCTGTATTCATTTTCTCATTCTAAAACTTGTGCAAAATGTGTTGCTTATCGTATTCAAAGGATATTTGTTTACTCTTTCAGGCGCAGCTAACATTCATTTTGCAATGCTTCTGGCTGGGTGAGTTTTCTTGCTCCCAAAAGAGCAGTTCACGGATATTATTATTAATCCATTTATTTGAGTAGTCAGTCATAGCTATTGCATATTTCTACGTGAACATGTGACATTGTTGGTGCCATAAGTCTACTTCAATATAATGAGTTTGCTTTACTCAGATTTGCAAGAGCAACTGAGCGTCGCCGATTGAGAGCCTTGAATCGTAGCCCTGAAGATAGTGACCGACGTTCACCAGAGAGAACAAATCAGTCCTCGATGGATCCCATACCTTCTGGTTCTCATCCTGAGACTGCCAATGAAGGTATGTTATATATTTTGCACAATTTGCGTACTGTATTAATAAACCCCTTTACTTACTGCTATCATACCAGGAAGCTTCCTTCCTTTGAACCAACTTCGGGATTCATTACGTGATCGAAGTTGTTAAAAATAATCGGATCAAAAAAATGCAATTATACAACACATGACTAAATCGTATATATCATGTCCAGTAAAGGAGATAACGATCGTTTTGATGCATTATTGAAATAGATGAACTGTTATAATCATTTATGATATCGATGGTTAAGGGTTAGCCATTTATTGGCCCACATCCAATCAAATTTGGCTCATTTTAATGGTACTTCCTAATCTTTAACGCATATTTCGAATCAGTAAGGGCGAGTTTGTCCACCATATGGGTCATTATAAATGGGGCCACATGATCTATTTCGCGGTACTTAGAAGAGCTTATGTCTTATTGTCAAACACTCCCTGCAATGTGGTAAATGAAAGGAGTCGCTTGAGGCCAAGATTGAGTCATTGACTTTTTCGTACATTTTAAAGGAAGTGGCGAGAGTGCCGTCCGGGAATTTGAATGTGCTTCAGATGAAATAATCGCATTGGTTCTTGCCTCCTGTCCTCGGGCTCGACAAATCGCTTCATACGCAGGCCAACGGTCTTTCCGCACTGTGGTAAGTTGGTTGCTTATGATTTAACATTGCAAAGAATTTTCAACGAAGAGTCTTCGTAAATTCGCCTTCTTATATTCTATTTGTAATGAATTGCCATCCGTGGTTTAGTGAAATCTGTTCAGTTGCCACGGGGTGTTCACGTCGGGAAAAAGAAAAGTGATTGGCAATCGCGAAATTGAAGGGAGTTTAAAGGAATTCGATGGACAAGACAATTGCCCTAATTTGAAAGAGGAGGCCACACATCCGAAAACCATGACAGTTTTGAGAAATAGGTCAGGATGACTCGAGGAGTCTCCTTTGGACTGCGTGCAAGCCAAGACATTTGCTATTTTATGCTTTGTGCTTTTGATAATGGCGAAATCTCTTCTCATCGTTGGAGGTCCCGATTGTTTGTACTTCAGTAGGATGTTCCACTTAGCTCAGAAGTTTCTCTGCCTTTGTCAGTTGACTATTTCCGTAGAGTTTTCTGTAAGAAGTTGACCTCTTGGGCGCCTGTATGAGGTTTTTATTGCGAATGCCTTCACTGACTGCAAACTATATGGTGGAAGCTGGAGAGCCGGTTGAACGGTGACGAAAGAGCCAGAATTTGCAATGCCAGATTAATGGAAGACTTTTATGGATTAGATTCCCTCGAAAGTGAGCAGTTCGAGGTATACGAGATGAGATCATCTGCTATGTTTGTATTCTTCTAGTCAGACCGACCTCTTGGTCTCCATCGCAATTCTCCAGTTCATGTCGGTTTCCTCTCACAGTATTGAGGAAGTGTTGAGCATTGACAATACTATTTCCTGCTCTGATGGGGTCGCAAGTAGTGGCGATACATGTTATCCTCCTCCAAGATTCCTGTTCGTTCCAGTCATAGATTATCGTTGGTGTGGCGCAAATGAAGGGATAAGAGTTTTACCTTACAAGGGAAGTTTAGTATGTTGGAACACCCTTATCTCATCTGGAAAAAGCAACCAAGTATTGTTCTGTAAAATTTATCCCGAATACCCTGTATATTCATTCTTTATTTACTATGCGGTCGAAATTGCTACTGCTATACAGCCATACTTTAAATTGTTTTTATTTTCAAGAAATTGAAACACTACCAGAATCCGTTTTCACTGTCATCAACTGTCACGCATACAATTGCAAGTTACAAATTTAGAATTCAGAAAGTCATATCTCTCATTAACCCTATTTGACCTAATATTACTCCGGTGGTTGTGTAGTTTATTTCACCGCGGGAACTGTGTAATTTGTCTCTTTATCTTCTGCTCTACCCCCCCCCCACTTTTCAAATGTGGTTTCTTATTTGTTCCACATTTTCTTTTCAAATCGGCCATCTGTAGATGCTTGAAAAGTATTAATATTTAGTGTACGCCTTAATGACTTAGCAATTTATTTATTTGTATCAAATGGCAGGCTTTATGATAGTTGTCATGGGGTGCGCGATAAACTTACCTCCTCGTGGTGCAGCCTGGACAACGTATTTTTTTTCGGCAAAAAAGTCTATCACTCGGCATTCGTTTTTGACTTCGATTAATTATGATTAGCTTTAAAAAAGGCTATAAGAAAAATCGCCCTCGTCAGGGCGAATCACAACGTCTTCAGATCCTCCAGTGGAATGCTGGAGGAATGTCTCCGGACAAAAAGGTCCAAATACAGAATATCCTACAAACCTATGATGTAGACATTTTCACAATTATGGAAGCTAACATTTCGGATGACAAACTGAAGTATTACCAATTCCCAGGTTACAACCTGTACAATCTACCTAAATACCGGCAAGTTGCAAGTGGAATTCTAACTGGAGTAAAAGAAGGCCTCACCTCACACTACGACCTAATCAAGAGTATGGGCTTGACACAAGACAAATGTGAAATAATCAGATTAAATGTTTGGAAATGTCAAAACCAATTCAAGATATATGCAGTCTATAATCCACCCCAGAATTGTCCAAACTTTGACTTTCTGAACATCTCACACAATACCATAGTGTACTAGGAGACTTCAACGCCCACTCCACCAGATGGGGCTAGAAGGATGCAAACATAGCTGGAAAGGAAATTGAAGACATGCTAAACAGCAAAATTCTGGAACTTATTTATAGCAATGAGGATCCGGCTACATATTTGCACTACAATGGATCCAGAACAACCCCTGATTTACTCTTGGCTTCAAGCGACATCAGTGAGCATACTCGCCGCAAAATAATTGACGATCCTGGTTCTGGGCACAAATCAGTCATTGCTAGTATTACCATCGGCAGCAAAAGCATGTCAAGGAAAGTGCCAACTAAGCTATCATGGAACTTCAAGAAGGCTGACTGGCCTAGATTCACAAACCTTTTAGAGGATGAACTTCATTCAAGTCCCCTCAACTTCAACCAACATCCTGACAAACTTTGCACTGCTATCACGAATNTGGTAGCGTATGGGGCTGTGCGCGCTCAACTCTAAACACCACTTACAAGATGTTTATTCAGCCAATAATGTTGTATTGCTGTGAGCCACTCATTACAGCCACAGAGGTGACTCTCAAACCCCTCGAGAAGGCACACAACCAAGCATTACGACTAATTACTGGAGGGATAAAATCAACACCCATTGATGCAATGCTCCTAGTTACAGGAAGCACCACAATAGGTTCCCTTATCAAAGAAAAGGCCTTGATCCTGTATGAGAAGTTACTGCGCATTCCCATGGACAAGTTCTTCAGCACCTATGAGAATAGACCAAGACATCTGAAAACGCAATCTGGTCTAATACAGAAAGCCATAGAACTGAAGAAAGCGTTACAAATCGATGATAAACCAAAAAGCCTCTCTCTCCCCATGAACCCATTAGCAGACATTGATGTAGTGTGTTGCACCCAACTGCTCGACTTCTTCAGGAAATCAAACACTCCTCCCGAGCAAATGCGCTCACTGGCCCTTGAGACAATCGATGTCAACTATCCTGCAGATCAATGGCTCCAAGTCTTCACTGATGGGTCATACATAGAAAGCCAAGCAAACGTTGGTGCAGGTGTCTATTCTGAACTCTTCTCTTTCTACCCAGCAGCGGGACATAATAGATCCGCTTTTGAAGGAGAAATAGAGGCCATTAGGTTAGCACTATGTCAATTATGTTCCCGGGATACGAAATTCACCAAAGCGGTGATACTTTCGGACTCACAGTCAGCAATAAACTCTATTGGAAACAGAGAGACACCAAAAAAAGCTGAGATTAAGGAATGTAGAAAACTCTATGAGCTGCTGAGAGAGAAAAACAAAACAGTGGTCCTACAATGACATACAGTGGAGTGATGGTAGTTTGAAGTCAGAAGTCGAATGTCGGTTTATAGACTTCTTTGCCGTATGAGTATGTGTTGCCAAGGTTGCACCACGTGGAGGTAAGGCTATCGCACACCCTTGACCTAGAAAGTAAAAATATTCTTAGCAATATTTTCTTTTTTTTCTACTCAGCTTTTTATTTTTTTGAAATTAGCTCAACGAGGCGCGTTTGGGCAAGTGGTTAAATTCGATGTTTTCCTAGTTAAGTGGCTCTTAAGTCATCTCAAATTTATTGCACAGAATCAACTAAACTAAATGAAATCTGAAATCATCGATTTTCCCAATAATGTGGTTGGAAGTGGGCCGATTGGAGAGAGGCATTGCTCTTATTTTCGTCGATAGAAGAGTGCTTTCACCGAAACTCGATCTAATACGTAAAAGCAAACATAAGCTAAATGTATTTTCTCCAACCCTAACGCATTTCCTTGTATTAAGGCTCCAAACTGAGTTCGTCTGTTTTGATGCAGGAGTGATTTGCAGCTTTAACCTTGACTTTTGAATTCATAGGTCCTTGAAATAATTTAAAATATTCTGTGCCAGTCCATACCTCGGATTATTCAATATAAAAGCATTTGAGGACTCCTAACACATTGACATCATGTGTTTTCACAAAGCAGAATCATTCATTATGGGTGTATATCTTGTTAATGTGAATGTGTGGGCATTCAGGAAATAATTTGAAGCCTCTTCTACGCCTATTCGATTTGCAGATCAAAGACGCTTGTTTTTGGGGCGAGGGTTACGTAATGAGCGGTTCTGAATGCGGTCACATTTTAATATGGGACCGGTTCACCGGTGCACCTGTGAATTCAATCATGGCGGACAGCAGTGTGGTTAATCGTCTTCAGCCTCATCCTTTCCTACCCTGTAAGTGCTTGTTTAATTTTTTTTTCAAAGCTAAACTAATCTATTCGAGGTTAATTTCGATGTTGGTGCCACTTTCAAACTTACCTCTTATAATGACATCCAAAATTTATATTTATTTATTTATATCAAATGGCAGGCGTCTTGATGGTTATCATTAGCCCTTTAGTTGACTTCAGGCTTCACAGGGGGGAGGAGGAACATCAAATTGAAAAAAAGTCGAGAGGAGGGAACAGAATAGTGTTTCAAAGATGTAAAAGAGACCGACACAAAGGTAGAAAAAAGATGAGGTGAGTACTGTGGAAGTAGTCGAATAGGGCATACAGTGGGATCATGGCAGTTTGAAGTCAGAAGTCAACTGTCCATTGATAGACTTTTTTGCCGTATGAATATACGTTGCCCAGGGTGCACCACGTGGAGGCAAGTCTATCGCACACTCCATGACATTCAAAATAAATTCGAGAAGCTAAATTATAAAACTACCTGAAGGAAACCCAGAGGACTCCAAAGTTGAAGCATCTAGATCACGTTATATTTTGTCAATTACAACTGACTTAATAGGCAAATCAGAAATGCTTTACGACAAGGGGAAGTCAACCATACCCGAGTCTTCAAGGGAGTTTGTATGGTTCGATACTTGGGAGACCAGAATCGGGTACAATTTGGATTTATTCTCTAAAACATACGAAGAGATTACTTAAGCTGGCTTTTATGACAAGTAATTTATTAAATTCAATTAATTTACTAAAAATTTACAAAAGCTGAGTGGATTAATCCTATCGTACTTCTTTGATAAGATATTTACGCTTTCCATGCCTATGACAAAGTTTTACCACCTTTTAACGCCAAACGTCTTAAGAAAAGCATAAAAATGGGTGTTGTCAGATGCCATAGATTCAGTGGCAAGCGAACCTTTGGAGTCATTACACACGATTACCTCTTGTTAAGGCGAGTCGATCTAAGAATAAATGGTTTATCCTGTTGATAAGTGATTTCGGCTGGTCTTTTAAAGCAGATCATGGTATTGCTTGATGTGGTCTTACCAAGGCGTGTTCTCTTTGGCTCCTTTGAGTAACGTCTAATAAGTTAAAGGCAAGAAAGCCAATCGGTGCACTAAACGATTGTTTGGGCATGAGTGTGTGTACTCGATGGAGTTCCCTACCCCCCCCCCCCCCCCCCCCCCCCCCCCTCCCCTCCACTTTCAAACATCGCTTAACAGTAAACGCGCTTTCTCTTGCAGTGGTTATGTTAGTTTTTTCTTCCATTGCCCGAATGTCTTGTATCCTATTTGTACGCAATCTCCAATTTACACGTATCAATTAATAACTCCACTGTTGAAATGACAGCCAATGATGTAACGGGACTAACTTACAAGCACTGATTTTTTATTACTCTTTTTTAGATTTGGCGGTGAGTGGAGTGGATCATAACATCAAAATAGTTCGACCCACACCCACGCCACTGGACGAAACGCAGGAGGAATACGAAGCTCGAATTGAAAAATGCAAAGCTGACACAGTTCAGGTGATGCCCAAATTCCTTTCCACTACCTTTTTTCCCTACATTCTTACCTTTTTATTTAAAGTAACCACGTGATTAAGTGTGCACAATGTCGAATTTTGAAAGACAGCAGCCATAACGATATGTTGGCATAATAGAATCCGCTTTTGATAATTCAATTTGAATCCATTTTAATATCGAGTACTTCAAGGAGTTATTTATTTCCACTTAAATAATGGATATATACAATCATATTTGCTAGAAAAGACATTTAAAACAGAAACCTTAATTTGACGAATTATTAGGGTTAAAGTGGGTTAATGGGTAGATTAAGCACTTCTTATTTTCTGAAATTTTAGTTGGTGGAGTTCAATAATGCAAGAACTAGGCAAGTTGTCGAAAACAGTGCATCTCTCCGTCAGCAACTGGCCAGTCTTCGAATTGGTCGAAGTCAGTTTTCTTTTCTTAGATTTATCCTATAATGTTTTTTTCTTGTTTCCATATCACAACTGCATTGAGAGTGTTCAAGTTAAAATTTTGTTCGTCAAGGAAGGGAGAGGTATAGGATGTGAGAATATTTGAATGGAGGAAAGATTTATGAATTATCTTTTTGTTTTATGCATTTTAACTTACTTGGTAGGCGGATAAGTATTATCAACTTTTCGAGGCTTTCAGTATTCGAGCAAATGGTAGACTCTCCTTAAGACAGAACGAAATGAGTATCCCCTCTAACATGTATAATTCTACCAATATATTTAAATATGATCTATTAAAGCTGGGCGATCTGTGCAGTCTTCCGGAACTTTGTACTCATTTCCTAGTTGGTTGCTTCACCAAACAATTGAATTTAAAGGAGGAAGGAGTGCTTGAGAGGTCTATATTTAACTACCCTCCCCCCCCCCTGTATATCAACAGGAACGATTAATTAAATAAATGAACTCACACTAATGGGTCTTGAACCCATGCAACCTGACGAGGCGTATGATCACGTCATCACCTTGACTGACTGTCTTGGCGATAGTTAAAGTCATCATTCACCAATGATTCGCCTCAATGCTTTGTAATATAACATATATACACACTAAATTCAAGACTTTAGCCTTTAAATACCTACGATTGGTATCCGTTTGATAAGTGGATTGAAAAAGCGAATTCCTTATATTGGCATCAAATTATGCCTAACCAAGCTGTAATGAACTTATGCTTTCTTCAGATATTTCTATACCACACTTGGAGAAAGTTATTGTCACTCAAAGGCCTTGGTAAAACGACGAATAGATTTAACTTGTAGGAATTTTTATTTAACTCTATGGTAAGGAAACTAGGGTAATTATATTTGTCTAGTGTAACATGACTTCTCTAAGTGGGAAGATTGGTATTTTCAGCGTTATTTGGAATGCTCAATCAGGTTGTTAGTTTTCGAACATACTTTTTTTCCTTCTTTTATTTACGCGTTGACCATCGGCGCAGTCATTGAAAGTAAATTTTTAAAGACGACGTGGATGAGCAACCGTATTGGTTACTCTGGTCAGCACGACGTGCGATAAATTTCAATTTTTTTATGAGGTGCACTACCATACCTTTCCACTATCACAGTTATGTGCTGATAACACTTTTCCTAATGAGTTTTTGAAGTATATAGCCGTCTCTTAATTGTATTACCTTAGAATTCACGTTAATAATGATCATTCGAAGGATGTCAATATGCAGACCTTTAGGTTAAAGATTTCGGAAGTATTTTCCAAATCCCAGGATCAATTTCGCCCATAAAAAAATATTAAGTTAATATATGTGCATTGGTTGATTATGGATTTTTAAGTTAGTGGCTAGATTGATGCAATGGAAAAATTTCACTTTATGTTTACAATGTCATTTCCATAGTGGCACGTCTTTTCCTGCTTCAACTGGCTGAAAGGCGAACTAGTGGAGGAAGACAACAGCAATCTTCGGACAACCAAAATGTTGACGGTGACAGTGAAAATTCGGACGACAGTAGTGAAGGAAATGCTCCTAACAGGTCCGACAGTGATTCGCTGGATTAGATGTCTTTTTCAACCTCATCCGGCCTTTTGTTCATGATTGAATTTATGGATTATTTTTACTTCACTATCTTTATCGGATGCCTCTCTTGCTTCGAGTTTACTGTATAAAATATATTTTAGTTATTGACAATTCTTTGCATGGATTATGAACTCTGGTAACTAAAGAGAAAAATTGAACCAGAAATTATTTGGATTTATAGACAGTTTTTGAAAAAGTCTATTTGAATAAATAGGATATCTTTAGTTTAAAAATTAGGGTTCTTGAAATATCATATTCTTTTTGTCTATGTAGGGTTAATGGATGAAAAATGCCAATTTAACTATTATTACTCCCTAAAATGGTGCACGCAATGATAGTATTTAATCTCCTTCAAATTCAAAAGAAATAAGGTTAATGCGGAGTGAACACAGTAAAGATCATTAAATGGCAAGCTTATTTACGTTAAAATTGTTCAATGTATCGGAAAATGCATAAATAACGAAACGAATTCGTTTAACTGGTGATATCCCCAAAAACGGAGTAAGCGCTAATCTCCTTATAATTAAAAAAATTCATAATAATTAATGTTGAAAAAGATTCTGAGGTCTACTACCTATTTCCCCCTTAAGGACTTTGAACTATAAATATTAATATTTAATTCCTGATTTTATTCAATATCATGACTATCAAATATATATGGATCATATCGACATTAAAATGAATTTACCATGTTACTTTATGCAAAATTTTTCAAATTAATCTCCACTTTTTGACATAGCAATGTTAAATTGGATAAGTTACTCGGCAGAAATAATATACTGGAAAACAAACAATTTCATTCAAATTTATTTTAAGTAAAATTTGGTCCTAAATAAAATAATTCGTTAAATAATGTCAGATAAAGTAGTCGTACATTTAGCCCAACTATATTTTATAATTTTTCATGTTCTGAGCTATTTTTTATTTACTAAATGACCCTGAAAGATACCGAGCCACCTGTTTGCGCGAGGTACGGTGTCCGTTGTGTGTATAACGAGTTTTATTGTACTACCGACAAGAGGTAATGCTCGTTTAGTTTCTCTCAATTTTCTAATTCAATAATGAAAATATACCTTTTTAAGTGCTTACCTATAAGTTACTTATAGTTTTCAAGAAAGTTGCCTAGTGTTAAAAATCCAAATTTTTCTGTTTTATAGATGTCAGCTTCAGTAAATTTTAAAAAATCACCAAGTTTGCATTATCGACAAAGTGGCCAGCCAAATTACGCCTCATCTTCAGATTCACACCATCCACCAAAACCGCCATCCCAACCACCCGCATCATTTCTACGCCACCCTGAAGATGTTCTTTCTGCACCTCCTCCCCAACAGCCAAGTACAGGAAGTCAGTGGTTGGCTATTGCTCCAGCCTCTCCGTTTCCACCACATCAAGGGGCCTCGTCACCAATGTTCCATCATCCTAATACGCACTCAACTTTCCAACTTCATCCCGAATGTTACGGTCAAATGCCACCCGCAGTTAATCTATCTCATGCTGCAGCTTTTATGTGCAACTACTCTCCTGTAGATCCAGCAGCCAGATTCTATGTTAATGGCAGCTTGACTCAGACGATTGAAGGTTGGCCAACAGGTGGAGTACTCATTCATAATTACTATAACCGTACCTATTTATTTTAATGGTTTATGTTTTTTGTAGCTTATCAGCAACCGAGGACCCCTCAATCAGGGCCCCGCGCTGGCTATTCCTTTCAGACCCATGAAATGGGTCTACACCCACCCGATCATTCTGCTATGAAGCGTCCAAACGATTTGGATTATCTAAGACCTCGGAAAGGTTCCCTTCCAACTTCCCAACAACAGCAGATATCTCCTGGGAAATCCGGGAAGATGCTCTTCCCAATTCGACCCCCCACTTTAGTATCTACTGGGTCCCCACCTCCCTTGCCTCCGAGACAACCCCGACAACAACAGATTTCTCAACAGCAACAGACGTCTCAACAAACACGTCCACCTGCTCTACCACCTCCACCATCAGGTTCTGGGCAGAGAGTTCAGAAACAGACGGATCCTTGGAGTAATTGGGGAGGGGCTTCGGTTGCAATGACAACTGCTGCAAATGGCGGAGGTGTACTTCACTCTGTGTCTTTTATTTCTTCACCAACTCCTGGAAAAGCACAAAGGTTTCCGATACATCCTAGGTAAGTACATATTAGCTCTTGGGTTTCAGGACCAAGATTTCTTAATTTCAAAACATGCTTCTTTCCTTCTTCAAATGAAATATTAAAAGCTCATGTACCTTTCATCCATTTTGATTAAATGGACTTAGGTGCCGGTTAATCCCCACATCAATCATCTATTATATTTGTAACTTCAATGGATTCTATTCTACCTTAAATCTACATTTTAATTATATATATTTTTGGAATGAATCGAATTCGGTATCTAAAATGTAGTTATTTTACTATAAGTTAAATAGCAGATTGTGTTAATTTAGTTACTGGGATTTTAATTGATTTGGTATTTGGATTTGGTATTCAAATCTAAATTATCTTTTAGTCAAAATGAAAAGATCCCCCATATTATCCAGCAACTGCTTTTATTCTCCGTCCAAATATTAGCATGGAATGCTAAACAAAATTAAGGAAACACATGTTTGAATTTTCCGATGAGGATAAATTAACTTTTGATTTATATCAGCCTATTCGGGTGGTTAAATCTTTAACGCGTAATAAATAATGATCTTGTTCCTTGAAGCAAATAGATCAAAAGTATTATTAAGGCAAACAGCTATTTTGTGAGTCTAGCTAGATATAGGAGATTCTGACAGAGATTTCTGAGTCCGTTAAAGCTTTATTAGTGTAGCAATCCCCTACATTCAATACTAATATGCAGGACGTATGTGGTTTTATGTAGCTTCATGAAAAAGGATCGTCATTAGTTTAGATCACCTGTTCCTTTGACATTATTTTGCATTTTAAGGAATGAACTTTAGTGGTATCCAATACAGTTAAGCTGTTGCCTTCTACTAATTTCTTGTTTACCAGTATGGTTCAATATATATAAAGGTCATTCCATTCTGTCAAATAGTGTGAATCGACCATCAACACTCCTTCCAAGCGGTGATGAGGCCCCACAAAGTCACTGCCTCAAACCACCTTCTTCAAATGCTATTAGAGAGACCACTCCAATCCGTATAAATCGTCACAAGACCAAGTCTCCATCACCTTGTTTACCGAGTGGAAGTGGAAATCATTCTAAAGCGAGCACACCAAATCGTCAGAGACAATTCCAATCAGTCGAACGCCAAATTTCCCCCAGTGATGAGATATTTAGACAAAACATGCATCGAGTAAGCAATATTTGAATGCATGATTAACTTGCTTGTCTGCATTCTATCCTGAATGTCCAAAATCTCCAATTAGGTCACTTTGAGAGGTTCAGTGATTTTAGACCCTCATGCATGATGAGTGTTAAAAATTGCTTTCTTCGATGTGCAGGGTATCTATTTGCACGTTGCTGTTAAAATTGTAAAGTTGTCGTGAAGGTTGATCACTCTCACCTTGGTGCCTATATCTGGTGAATTTGCTAACTCCGAAAACTAGAGTAGCCACGTTCTGTTGATTACATAAGATTGCGGGTTAATTGACGATGTTCTAGTCTAATTTTCATGAAGAGATATTGAAAGCGAAATAAAACTCGAGCCTGATAATTTCTGTTCCTATTAAGTGCAGATTTATGGTGAAATCAGGAAATTAGAGATTTCCGGAAACTCAAGGGTCTGCTCATGGCACATCTCTGCTCAACCATACCACACAAAGTTATTTCCAATCGAATGTACTTAATCATTCTTTTATCATCACAGTAAACAGTTAGAAGATGGCTGTTCGTGGATTGGGTATAGGTCTAAGAGATTAAAAGAATCCAGGAATTCCTTTTTGTATTTAGCATTAAGCGATATTTCTACCACTGACTAACTTACAAATTACACCAAAGAGAGCAGTTTTAGGAAAGGATTTACTCACTAAACCTTTTACCATATTGTTGTCATTAACTTTCAATTTTGCAATTTCATATGGGTGTGAAAATTCTTTTTCTTCTTTTTGCAAGCAGCAACCGCTTTTTAATCTCATCTTAACTTTCTAATTTTTCGTTAACTCAAGTTTCTATCCCGAAAATATCGATTATCCATCTCCAAATAGACAGAACGTCATCCATTTATCATCATTTCTTTTACTGCAGTTAAGTACAGCCGTTACAGCTTCCAAATCTCCAGGATCAGTTGAACCTCCACCTCTTTCAACTGCTGAGCCTCATCGGGGTTGTCATCCTCCCGATCCAGTGAGTAGTGGATCACAAGAAGAACCCGGCCAAGTAAAAGCATTCACAGCTGGTCTTTCAACATCTCTCACTTCGTTATCCCATTCCTCTTCCCTCTCCGATTTCGATACTGAAGGTTCCATCACTTCCGCTAGCTCCTCCTCCTCCTCCTCGGTTATCCATGATAGCCATCATCACTGTGACAGCTCCTCCTCCCACTCTTCCTCCTCAAGTTTCTGCTACGGTTGTGCTCATAGCGGCGCGAATGCAACCTCAGCCCCAGCTGCAAAATCCGATGTCGCTGTCACCAATATAGCCCCACAAGCCACTGCCATCTCCGTTACTACAGATAGCGATTACGTGCCATTTGTGAAGGCAGTAAACCCAGCTGTCTATCGTCGCTTCATTGAACAAAAGTACTTTTCGAATGTTGGGCGAGTTCATAAGGAACGGGAGGAGAGGCAAGCCCGACTTGAAGCCGAAATGGCGCTTATGGGTTTGAGTGAGGCCTCTCGGGCTCATATGCGAAAAATGCTCCAAGCTAAGGAGTCAAACTACATGCGTATGCAGCGAGCTAGAATGGATGAAAGCATGTTCATTCGGCTCAAACGCCTTGGTAAGCAATGGCTCTAGCTGAAATACACTAGTATATGATGCTAACTTCTGTGAACTTCCAGGTGTTGGAGCATTTGGGTGGGTATGGCTAGTTCGAAAGAAGGAAAATCGTCAGTTGTATGCAATGAAGATTCTAAAGAAACGAGATGTTGTGAGAAGACGCCAACTGGCGCATGTGCAGGCTGAGAGAGATATTTTGGCCGAGGCAGACAGTGATTGGGTGGTTAAACTCTTCTTCTCATTCCAGGACTCCCACGCTCTCTACCTGGTTATGGAATATATTCCTGGCAAGTGCTACCTTCTAGTTAACTATGCATATATTTCATTTGTGCTCTCCTGCTTNTCCCCCCCCCCCCCCCCCCGCCCCACTCATCAAGCATATCACCTTGTTTGATGAATTTTCTAGCAGTACGAATATTGCTAAAAGTTTCATTTTCTCTTGTTGTACACAACTGTGTAATAATTACCTCGCACCGTCCACCAAATATAAAGAATCTAAAAGCCACGAGGGAATAAAGATTTCCATGTCTTATTCAGGCCTCCTGTCTTTATCGTTCTGAGGTTAGTAGCACCATTCTACGATCGAATTGATGATACAAGTAATTCCTGTGTCCAAATTCCCCTTCGTATACATCCGTTATAGCTTGTGAAATCTGAGATAGCCCTGATATTAACTTATATCGGTATCTCCATTTTCCATCGACGCGTTCAATTGAGTTCAGTCAACTGATGATGGAGGTCGGTAAGGCCAGAAGAATTCGAACATTTTGTTGTTTATTCACAAATAATACCATCGCATAAAGATTAGGAATTTAGGCATAGTGGATTAATGGCTGAGGATATACTCTCCAATATACTTCCAATTCAATTCTATGAAGACTGCCAGGATTTCACCACTTGCCTTGGGCACTGTCTAGGCCTGTCATGCTAGTTGGAGAGCTAATTGTGGGTTAATTCGCTAGTGCTTTAATTTATTTGAGCGCTATCATTGTGCATGGTTTATCCTTATTTCATTAAAAAACCAAATAATTTTGTTCAGTAATACAAATTGGTAGTTATGGTTTATTTTCGGCCAGAAATTTAACTGAATCGGTACGGGGGTAGCCAATTAACCCATTGTATAATGATTTCAAACGATAATTTCGTCTAAGCAGAAATAGATCTAGTGCCATGTTTAGATTAGCACTCTCAGCATCTCTCAGAAAGCCACATTCAACATCCCTTTTGTGCAATAAAATTGAATGATAATTATATCCAATTCTTCATAAATGTAAGATTGAAAGTTAATTTTCAAGAGTCACTAAAAGCAATTGATACCCTAACATATTATTAAAAGTACCACATTTTCTAATTCACAGAACCTTCCACTGTTGAAATATCTAGGCTAAAATTCCTGAATTAAATTACCCCCCTTCCTTCCCTAGTCGTTTATTTCAGGCATGCATGTGTGCATAGAGAAGGATGTCAAAAAGCCATAACAGCGAATTCCGACGCCAATCGAAGGAATGCTCTCTGTGTGCGTAGAACCTCTGCACTGCATGCTACTCTGAACCCCCAAATACAAAATACCTGCACTTTCTGGCCCAATACACACAAGTGCTTCTCTCTCTCCCTCTTTCTTCCTCTGACCCATATGGGAGCGATATACCGATGATGCTGATGTTGATGATAGCGTGTGTATGCACACACACACACACTTGCACAGGAAGAGGGGGCTCGTGATTGGCTAAAATATGGGCCTGTCCGTGCCACGCTCTTCACTCTCTCTCTCTCCCAGGGCCGGCCTTTTGGAGTGTATGTGCATGGCTACTTTCCCCAATTTCTTTAAATTCCGCCTGCCTTGCATACCTGCATGTAGGCAACTGGGCGCACACAGCACAACACGCACATAACAGCGTGCTGGCCGAAAGATTATCGATCTACTACATTGTGGGTGCTACTGTCTTGCCTATAATACATAAAGGGGAGGGGGGGGGGGGGGAGGAGAGATGGAGAATTAGAGATTATGCTATTGTTTGATGGGAAAATAACTGTGATGTCTTTGAAAGATTGGGAGTTAATTTCCTGTTGTTAATAAAATAATTATTGGAAAAGAGAAAAGGAGACGCGTTGATCATTTTGGCCAAAATAAAAACGTTAAGTTAAATATCTCTCGATTCAGTATAAGAAATTAAAGTAAAAAGGACATTGCTTTCTTTTATTTTCTCTTTTATCACATTAATGTTTCAAATTGTGAATGGCCACAATTTTTCCATCTCTTGCACATATATTGGGAATCTGAATAAGAGAGTGCCATGGAAAGAGCTCAATATTTGAGTGAATATTGCGTGGCATGTAATCAAGTTGCTTAGATCAAGTTTCTTTCAATACAAGTATCTAGTTGCTCAGAATTCTTCTCTCTCACATTGATTTGTTATTCTAATTTCTGGTTAATTCATTGATAATGAAGTGGAACTTTTCATATGTAAGTAAACTAGTTAACCACAATGACTCGAAATAATTTCAATTTCAATTTAGTCCTGCTATCTGGTAGTTTCAGCATTTCTTTTAATTGAATGCTATTGATTTATTCACTTTGTCTGCACCCCTTAATTGTAAGATGCATTTTTTTGACTGGAAATTTTTAATTCGGGATTCTCTATTGAATTCTACTTATCCCAAAAACTATCGATAACGTTTTTAAGAGGAGAATTATAAGAGAACTCACTGCGTTAAATCCAATCTCATACAGACGGTGCTAAATCCAGTATTTGAATAAGTATTCATGGGAAATGATGATTTTTGAAATGTTTCGAGCAGATTTCTTCCTACACTATTGTTCTATTATTTATCTGATCGAATTTCTTGCCAAAGCTATACCAACGATCACTCTTATATCCATCACACATCCCTGGAAAGGGAATCTAATTCACGTTAAACTTTCCTCCGGGTGTTAAAGCGATTGAAGCCATATATTAATCGGAACCAATTCTAATTTTTACTCGAAAACTTCATTGTATAAAGTAATTGCACTTGCCTATTGACTCATTCATTTCGAATCTTTACTTTGCTACCTCTAAAAACAGTCGTGTTAAGTGGACTCTTTGCATATTTCCAACATCAAAAAATGTATTTCTTCAGCTCGTGTCCTCCCTTGTGGAATAGTTAAGTAAAGTTGGAAGGGGCTTTATCTCTCAAAGATACCTATTTTAACCGCATGAGCCTTCAGAATAGCCACGAACTAAACAAGGGTTGAAACGTTCTACTTTCTCCACTCCATGTCTACCAACGACCAGCGACTTTATTTCAGATTGTAAATAACGAATTGCGCAACTAATAAAGTTAAAAATATCACTTTGATGCCAATTTCGGACAAACACTTCCACTTTAATCAATAATTTCCAAACACCTTAACACTGAAGCTTTCGATGAAGGATGTTATCAAAAAGTATATATAACGACTAATTACTTGAATGTTGTTTAACAATGCATACTTTGCTTTCAATCAGGTTAATCCAAAATTACGAATAATGCGCCAATAGGTGTTGCTTTCTCGCGCGTGCTTTGGTGCCCACTAAATTTGCAGACATTTCAGAGTGGAAAAGAGGCGTTGTTGGAATGCGAAGCAGATTCCCTCTTCCTAAATACCTGTTCCCTCCTCAGCAAAATTTCTAATTAACTGGAAACGCGGAAGATAAGCAGGCATCCCAAGTATCCCGCTGCTGTTGTTGTTGTTTTTATGTCACAAATTCTTTTGGTCTGCAATCATATGGTCCGTTTGGCGATCTTTCACAAATTTTGTCCCCTGTGCTTTTATTGCTGTTATTATTATTTATTCAATTATATGAAATATTATGAGATTTAGTAGTTTCTATTTGTTATTCTACGTTTGAAGTTGCAATATCTAACAGGAAAAAAGGCGGCGCTTTCAAAAGTTACTGGTTTCTCTTCCTTCCTGAATGGTGAACAAGATTCCGTAGCTTTTGCTGTCCTGTTTTTTTGCAATTTTGGTCCCTCCCAATTCTAAAAAGAGACTAACTTTACGTTCGTGTATCCATTTGGCCTTTAAGAGCCACAAGTCAGCATCCAAACTTTAATCGTGGTAGTGAATGTTTTGTGGAAAAAGTAATTCATACATCAAATCTTTTGCTAGTTAAGGCAAAAAGTGTGGGTAAAAATTAGGCTATTCTGGAAAATATGCAGAAATATTTACGAAGGGCAAGGTAAAAGTGGCTTTTGCATACGCAATTCGGTGCATTTTAATAGCACTAAAACATGGTAACGGGAGCACTTTGTACTTTCACTCCATCCACATGCTTATTTGCTTCATTTTCAATGCAAGGTATGCGATGGGTTATCAATTTGAACGACAAAAAAAGGAAAAGAATTGCAGAAAGGAGCGGTTAGCATGTTTTCCTCACACCGCCAACTTCTCATCTTCTTACTATCTCTTCACTATTAGGTGGCGACATGATGTCCCTGTTGATAAAGAAGGAGATTTTCGAGGAGCCTCTTGCTCGCTTCTACATTGCTGAACTAACTCTTGCCCTGGAAAGCGTTCATGAGCTTGGATTCATTCACAGGTGAGTTGTGATAAGAAATTACTTTGAAGTACACTCATGTGCACCGACTTTTAAGATGCTAAGGGAAGGTATATAAAAGTGGGAAAAGTCCAGAGAGGGGGAGCAGAAGAGAGATTCACAGATGTAAAAGAGATAGACAGACACAAAGGTAGAGAAAAAGGTAAGGCGAATACTGTGGAAGTGTTGGAATATGGCATACAGTGGGGTGATGGTAGTTTGAAGTGAGAAGTGAACTGCCGGCCAATAGAGTTTTTGCCGTATGAGTATACGTTGCCCAGGGTGCACTACGTGGAGTTAAGTTTGTCGCACACCCCTTAGGCAGTGGGGATTGTGCCTGTGGAAATGAGACGACTCTCTATGAAGCCAGAAGTTAGCTAAAGGGCTAATGATAACTATCGAAAAGCCTGACATTTGATATAAATAAACAAACTTTTAAGACGCATTAATAGCTCATAGGTATTATAATGAGATCCCACTAAAGATTCACAAACGCGGTCCAATCGATCTCTGATTAATAACAGAAATCACTGGATAATGGAGGAAGTTCACAACTTTTCTAGCCGTGTAGGGTTCAACACAAAAAGCCGTGCAAATTTTAACCGGTACCTTACTATTCTCGATATATTTTCAGGGATATAAAACCCGATAATATCCTCATCAACCGTGACGGTCATATCAAATTGACCGACTTTGGTTTATGCACAA